GACCGGTGTGTGAGTGACATGGTGTGCGAGTGATCGGTGTGCGAGTGACCGGTGTGTGAGTGACATGGTGTGTGAGTGACATGGTGTGTGAGTGACATGGTGTGTGAGTGACCGGTGTGTGAGTGTGCCCTGCAATGAGTTGGCACCCTATCCTGGGTTGGTCGCTGCTTTGTACCTGTACAGACACTGTACCCCCCATGACCCTGAATAGGACAAGTGGTTTCTGAAAATGGATGAATGGATGGATGGATTTGCTCAAGGTTTTACTGCTGCTTTTTTCTCTCCCATCAGAGTGGGGTCTGGGTCTACAGCCTCACGTACTGATGCATGTCCCTCTGATAAATGAAAAGCAGGGGGGCAAAATTGAAAAATTCAGGGTCTGTGACGAAGAATATATTTCCATTTCCATGATCTGTCCTCCACTTCTGCTCCGTGTGAGGAGTTTGCACGCTCTCCTTTTGTCGCGTGGGTTTCCATCAGTTACTCTGGTTTCCTTCTACAGTCCAAAGATATGCAGTTAGGCTCTCAATTGGTGTCTCTCAATTGGTGTCTCTCAATTGGTGTCTCTCAGTTGGTGTCTCTCAGTTGCCCATAGTGTATGACTCTGTTTGTATGTATCCCAGCCCCATGCCCTGTGATGGACTAGCACTACCAATCAGCGTGGGCTCCAGGCCCCAGTGAACCTGACCAGCATGATGGATGCCCTGCGGTTTTCACTACAGCATTTGTGTCTTTTGAATGTGTACCAGTCATTCTGTGTTTGTGTGAAGCAAAAACGAAGCCACAAGAAGGAGATCCATGTGATCCGACAGCTGCATTTGCAAAAGCTCATCACAGGGCATTTCATTTTGTTAAATGCTTAAAAAACGCTTGCTTCGTTTAGAAAAGGGTAACACTCACAGAGTTTGATCTCATTCAGCGCAGCATCTGGTTATCATGTGACCTATTCCAGATTACAGCTTCCTGGTGTCTTACTATACTTCAGAATGCTACTTATCAGCTCTCCAGGATAGTGCAGGCTGATACTGCATCCATTATTTAGAAAAGAGTAAATTTCTACCATTTGGATATCATTCTCACCCTGCCACTCCTGCTCGTTGCCATGGCCGGCATAGTCCAGGGAATCCGCCTCATCCGGCGTGTCCATGTCGTCCACGTTGATGTCCAGGTCGTCCGGTGTGTCCAGAGCATCGTCCGACAGGATGGAGCCCTCGCTCTGATCCAGTGACAGGTTAATCTCTGGGGCTGCCAGCTTCTTGCGCTGGGGATGGGTCCCATGCAGGTCCAGTGAGGAAGGGGGCGCTGAAACAAAACCACGTACCATCAATCCCATCTCACTCCACAAACCACTCTCTGGTTTTGTTTCAGAAGCATTCAAAATCATAAATGGTGCTGCATTAGAGCAGAATGAACCACAGCACTGTAGGTATAACTATATAAAGCATGTCAAACAACCAAAAGACCCACTGCTCTTACACATTAAGTAGATATATTAGACAAGTTTATGTTACTAAGAGCCAGGCACAGTCATGTAACCAAGATGAATGTTTTCTGTACGGCTGAGGAGAGTGGAAGGGTTGCTTCAGACTTACATATTCCAATGATGATGTTTTTGCAATTCCTGACTAAAATTTATTCATAATGGAGCACATGCTTAAAACGGAATTCTATATTGCTTTAAAATTGGCTGGAGGTGGTTTCTGGAGCTGCACTGGTCACCTGGTCTGTTCTCTGCCCCACTGGGACTCGTCATGTCCTCGTCATACTGGTTGTCCATTCCCACATCCTCTGTTGGGGACCTATAGGAGCAGAGGAACACCAGTGTTCAAAGACACAGTTTCTGGGGTTTGATACACAAACTCACACACCCTTAAGCAGAAACATGAACAGCGTGAGGAACGCTTACATGTCATCAGACCCAGGGACAAAAGGAGGATTGTTTGTGGGAAATGGGCGATCTGAACACCACTATATCGCGTTCCAAAGGATAGCAGATACCAAAATGGTTAAGGGACATAGGATTATATTGTCCTGACAAATATACAGTAACAATAACGAAGCCCATATTAATATGCAAGTGAAGAAATGACTTCAGTAGCATTCCATTTGTCTATTACGTGAGATGCATTTTAAAAATGATATAATCCTAAATTGTGCAAGAATTAGTTTGTGAATCATTACCTTAGCTACTCTGGTTTCATTTAATTATGCATTTTTTTCTATAAGTGGCTAACCTGGTTCTTCTAGTGCTGCCCTGAGCAGCTCATTGTTACGGCAGCCCCGTGAATCTGCTAATTCAGTTCTAGTTTTCATGTTTGTAGACTACTCACTTGGATATGCTATTTTTTGAACCCTAAAGTTACAACACATATGGAATGCAGTGTGATGGTGCTTATCTTTGTAGAACTCAGAAAAAAATGTTACTACTACAGATGCCAGGCCACGGTGAGGGCCTGGCGTTAGAGTGTATGAGGGAGCAGCAGGAGTTAAATCCTTCATTCACCAGCAAGCCGCGCCTGGGTCTACTGGTCGAGCTGGAACGGTGCTGGAGGTGAAAAAGGGGGCGGCAGTGAGATTATGGAATAAGAGAAAAGACACTTTCATCATCATCATGGGAAAAGTCACTGGCACACAGAAAAGTTGAGCTCTCAGCCGTTGCCGGGAGCGAAGGCTGGTACTGACACTGACACTGCAGACACATGTGCTTTACGGAAACTCCCACTGCCATGGTGACACCAGATGGTTTTCACATCAAGGGAGCCGAGAGAAAAGTGAGCATAATTAGTAAAAAGGAAGGAGGGATGCTGGCTTTTTTGTCGAACAACAGACAGTGTAATCTGTTACAAATCACTATAAAAGCCCACATATAAGATAGAAATCTTGAGCTGCTAGCTGGGGGATTGCGACCACATTACCTACTATGTGTGTCTCCATACACCATAGTTTTCCCCCCCCCCACACACACACACACACACACCCTGCTGATAGCACTATTTTGATTAATCATATCTATCCTGTTTCATTAACTTCCTCCAGCAGAAGAGTTCATGATGAAGTATCGAGTGGGAGGAGGCAAATTTCTGGCAATAAGCCGACAAAAAAACCTGGGGGAGGTATAGAAAAGGCCACCATCCCTTCCCCTTCTGCATGCCTCCCTGCTTCTACCTCTTCCTCATACCAGCAAGGGCACCAACCAAAGAACAGAAGCCCCACTCCCTCCCCCAGACTGTGCTTCACTGCAGACCAGGAATGAACAGAATTAGGGAAGCCTCAGGGCAGTGGGCCTGTAACAGGGTTAGGGTTAGGGTGCTTAAAGCATGTGCCAGACAGATGCGTGGAATTTTTCAGCACATATATACCCTTATATATACCCTTTCTTTCAGCTTGCAGAAGGTGCCACAGTTGTGAAAATCATCCTGCCTAACAAGGGGTGGCTCAGCGTCCCTACAGATTACAGACTGGCAGCATTAATGTCACGTATCACTAGGCACACATAGGCGTGGCACAGAAAAGGACAGTGTCTTGGATCATGGACTACAATGCATCAGGTGACAGTATTTGAAGCTTCAGGACTATGCGTCAGAGATGGTAGTGAGCAATGTAAGGGCACCCCAAAGAAACCATCATACTGTATCTATCCCCTATCTTTTCACCTACTATACAACAAACCCACAGTACAATTGCTCCATTGTTACAGGAGGCTTGTGCAGATCTTTGTCACATGGTATAGCACTATAGTGAGATTTACCTGCACCTTAACATCAGTAAGACAAAGCAGCTAAGGTGCGACCAAGCAACACCAGACATGTTTCTTCAAAGGAACATAGAAATGAGGATGAGAGCAGGATCAGCCAGTCCCAGTAATAACTGGGCTGACATCACTGATCCAGCGACTTTCCAATCACAGGTGCAGAGTGCTAAGGTACAGAGCTTAAAAAGCAAAACGCACCGGATGGCCATCTTGGAGGCTCTATGATAGAATGTGCACAGCTATTCTTTTTGAAAAGAATTTTTGTGTGCAGCCAACTACTAGGAATGTTCTTCCAGCCATTAGGTAAAACCAACAATGTNTATTTTGATTAATCATATCTATCCTGTTTCATTAACTTCCTCCAGCAGAAGAGTTCATGATGAAGTATCGAGTGGGAGGAGGCAAATTTCTGGCAGTGGGAGGTATTTAGATGCTGAAGTAACATTCTTTGAGGTAGGGCTGGGCAATATGGCAAAATATTTTATCACAATATTTTTTTCATATCGGTCAATGTCAATATCATTACACACAGTTCCCACTGTAATCACCAAAGAACAAAATCTATGTGGAAATGACAATAATTGAGCTGAATCAGGTTGGTGTTTGATTGCAATTAACAGCCCTGGGACACAATGCTAATACTATCCTGCAATCCTGGACACAGTGGCTGGTACCTACACTTCCTTTGTCTTCTCCTCCATCATCTTCTTCATCTCCTTCATCTCACTCTGTTCATTTATACGGAGCATCTATCATTAAGTCTTAAACAGATCCAGAATCTACCAGCACCCCAGGCAGACAAAAAGTATTCCTCACGTTCAACATCCTCGTAAAAACTCCCACCTGTGGCTTCACCCACCACCCAGTTTACTGATGACTGTGCCTGCATCCATAAACACAGAGCCAGTTCTCTGCCCCCACCCCTCTTACTAACTCTGATGTCCCCAAACTGCTCCTCATTAACCCCTATCTGTCTTAGCTATCTCTCTCACACTCCACTCATGTACTCACACATCACCCCTGACTGCTACAGGAGGGGGGACAGATGGACATTTAACTGAGTGTACAATAGACCAATTAACCCGTGTAATAATTTTTTATTAGTACCATCATCCCACCGCTATTTATTACATCTCCCTATACTTTTATCTTTAATTTCATAATTGTACTATGTGTAACTATATGTTGTTTTTATGTTGTATGGTGCTATATTGCTACTAGAAACTGAATTTCCCGGAGGAACCTTCCCAAGGGATTAATAAAGTTCTCTATCTATCTATCTATCTATCTATCTATCTATCTATCTATCTATCTATCTATCTATCTATCTATCTATCTATCTATCATCTATCTATCTATCTATCTATCTATTATCTATCTATCATCTATCTATCTATCTAATCTAATCTATCTATCTATCTATCTATCTGACTGAGGTGCTTCTTAGTTGTCCGTTCTCATCGTGATAGACCCACTTACAGCCTTTGATACGGAGAGCCACCAGATACTCTACCAAGTAGATAGTGTCTTGGGGTGCAGAACAATCTAAGTTATATCAGGTAACGACAGGTAAACCTCACGGTTCACTCCTTGGTCACCTCCTCTTCCCCTTGCACATGACCTCCCTAGGTCCGATCATAGTCACATGGTTTCTCCTGCCACTGCTATGGAGATGATATCCAACTCAACATGACCTTCCCTCCAGAGGACTCCACAGTCCATGCTCAAATTTCTGAGTACCTTGCTGACATCGCAGTATGGATGAGAGATTGCCAGCTCCAGCTGAACCTCTAAAAGGCCATGCTTTTCGTCTTCCATGCCAACCCTACCACTCCTTGGGCCTGACTTTCTGAGCTGTTAATGGAACAGCATCTATCTAAACCATGTTTTTCATCAAGGTATTTTATATGATTTAGCAGACACTTTTATCCAAAGTAATGTACACTTATTTGAGAAAGCTGGGTCAGACAATCCCTAGAGGAATTAGGGGTTAAGGGCCTTGCTCAGAGACCCAATGGTGACATCACTGTGCCAGCTGAAGGATTTGAACCGGCGAGCTTCTCATGACAGGCATAGCATCACAACCTGCTGGGTCACACCCCATGCCATACAAGACCCACATCTCAGTGCCTGGTGATCCTACCACCACATGAAAATAACTTGTGTGGTTCTTGGTAGTGGATGGAGCAACTCATCCACTTATAGTCATCAGAGTCCCTCTCCACCTTCAAGAAACTCCTACAGCCTAACTCATACTCCATGCGTCCAGGTGCTGTTGCAGTCCGAACTCCGTCAAGCGCACAGATTTTTGCGTACATACTTTATTTTGGGGCATCATCTGTATACACATATGGTCATGGTTGGTGCATGCATACAGCAATGATATTACAACAGACGAGCAGATTTATGCATCTCCAAGGTGTCCAGCTGACCACTTGTGTTCAGATTTCATTACTGCCCCACGTGCAGTTATTGTGACGTCCTTATCGGGGATTCATCAGAATGCATTAGTGTTTACGCTACAAAAGATAGTGTCAAATGCAACCCACACACCTCGGCAAGTAGATTTTAGCGATCAGACCACAATGCATCTTGGTGACTGTTTATACTTGATTTAGCATTGTCTACTTCCGATCCGATTGCCCAGGATGCATTTTTAAACCAAGTGTAAACAGGGTCCTAGCAATACACTATCAATTATTTGCACATACACAGTCGATGTTCCATGACGTGCAAGAGTCCATTCAACTCAATATCTAGGGTGCATGCGACACAAAATTTATGCGCATAGTGTGCAGACGGTAATGATACATGAACAAGAGGAGTATGAACTAGGCTTTGTGGGAGTACCTCAACTAATCAACTAATCCAACTACTGACTTGCTCTGTCTTCATTGGTTTTGGGCATTTAGCAACATTAGATGCTGCTTTACTTTGCACCCATCTTGTAGCAACCACACTGTGTTTTTTAAAATTTTAATAGCTCTCTTGGTAGGTACTTACAATGTCTGGTAATATACTGTTTAGCCCTTGCTGTATTTTCGGCCT